ATTTTCTTCAGCTTCAGTTTGAATTTGCATATGAGCAATTGATGGTCTGTTCTACAGTCTGCCCCTGGCCTTGTTTTGACTGATGATATGGAGCTTTTCCATTGTCTCTTTCCACACATGTTAATTTTATTTCTGTGTATTCCATTTGGCAAGGTCCATGTGTATAGTTGTCTCTTATGCTGTCTAAAGAAGGTATTTGAAATGAACAAATCATTGGTTTTGCAGAATTCTATCATGCATTCTCCATCATCATTTCTGTCACCAAGGCCATATTTTCCAACCACTGATCCTTCCTCTTTGCTCCCAAACTTTGCATTCCAATCACCGGTAATGATCAGTAGATCATGATTGCATGTTTGATCAATTTCAGGTTGAAGAAGTTGATAGAATTGTATTTCCTTCTTACTGGCTTTAGTGGTTGGTCCATAACTTTGAATAATAGTGGTATTAACTGAGCTTCCATGTAGGCGCATGGACATTATCCTATCACAGACAGTGTTGTACCTCATGACTAATCTGAATATGTTCTTTTTGACAATGAATGCAACACCATTCCTCTTCAATTTGTCATTCCCAGCATACAGAAATAGAAGCTTTAAAATTGAGAGTTCCTTCTTACTTTTGAAACTTTTGAGGGGTGACATGTAGTAGTTGCAAGAATATAGAGCTTGGTAATTACAGATTTGGATTCAAACCACAGACCTATAAAATATTAACAGTGAGACCTTATGCAAGGCACTTAGCCTTGTTTTTTTTTAATCTTAAAAAAGAGGGATAAACTCCGTCAAAGAGTTTAGTTTGGACTAGAGGAAAGTTTGTTCATATATTTAGCACAGCACATAACCCAGAGTAATGCTAAATAAATATTTGGCAAATTAACTAATGGATAAATGAACGAGAAAGCAAATTATAACCTTGTAGAAGATTGGCCAACAAGAGAAAACAGAGCAAAAATGTAAAAGACTAGAAGATAAAGATCTAGAAACAGATTTTTTTCAATGGCCTGGTAGAGGAAGTGGAGCCCAGAAAAGATATGGCCAGAAAATGATAAGTCCTCCCAACAACCTCATATAGTCCACTTACTGTCTCCATTTTATAGTGGGGAAACAGACATGGAGGGGTTGAAATGGCAACTTGGTTGTGAGCATCTCAAAGCCCCTTCTCCTTCTACTATACCATGCTACTTTCCTCCATGGAGAGTCATTTGTTGTCATAGGAAATAATAAGAACTTTGTGGGGGCTTTTAGAGCTGAGTCTGCTCTGTGTTCCAGCTGAAGCACCACTGTGTGAAGAAGCCATCAGACCTGTGCACCATTAATGTGAGCGGCCTCAAGTTCTCCAAGGTAAGGCCAACCAAGAGCAAAAAACTCACTGCCAGGGAGCAATTCCAAACCAGCAAAGATCATAATTGGGTGAGTTGGATCTGAGGAGCACCTAACTGTTCATTGTACTTCTGGGAGCTAGAAATCTGTTCATGTGGGATGAGGGAGGATCAGACAAGGATTCACCAGTGAAAACAATACTCAGCACAAATTTTTGTGATATGTTTGGTGTTGCTTTTGCTCCATGTGAAATGAACCAAAGAAATTAGCTGTATAATTTTGGTTTTGAATTTTCACTGGCATTTTATTGGAGCGTGATTGACTATGTGATGCTGAGTTCCCATCACAAGTGCTTCTCGGGAAATTTCTTTCAGATTTCATTGCCAGGAATGGTTGTGGTTCTCCCAAGAAGCTGGTTTGTCTGTAACCCATAGACATTATGAACTTGTGTAACGAATCATGTTTCTTTCTTTGCATTGACTGATAAGCAGTTGGAGGAACCTTTGTGGCCCACCATTTTCCAGGACACTGTGGCATATATTTGGTATAAAAATGGCTATCCTGGTTTGTAGGTCTTGCATGGTATACCAGAAGAGATTGCTTGTATAAACCAGCCCCATGGAATAGGGTGATGAGTCACAGGATGACCAAGTTAGTGCTGAAGTAGATAGTTTCCTAAAAAGGTTCTGTTTCACTTCATCTAGAAATTTGTTCTCAGAATCGAGTCACTTGGGGACCAGTCAGCCATAGTAATGTAGTCATCTGGGACTGGGAGACCTTCCAGAACAGGCCAGTACACGATCCCAGAGATGTTAATATATAATTCACTTATAGAGACAAAGCTGAAGGTATCAGGGGTTTATCTCAGTATAATTGTTGAAGGAATTAACATGGGTTAGGCAAAACTCATCTCCCACTACACACTGCCCATTTTTCTTTCCCTCATCTGCCCACTCACTCACACACCTCCCCACACTGCCAAGACCTATTCTGCCTCAGTGGATTTTACTGAGGCCGTAGAGGTGACTCAGACATAGTCCAGTAGGGAGGGAGAGGGACGGGCTCAGATAAAAGTGGCGAAGAGGATTCCATACTGTCGAATGCTCTATTTCTTTAAAGAAATTTGAAGCAAAGACTACCGCATATTCAGATATATTAAAGGATAATGTGTACATGGTGATAGCGACTGTGTGCTGTTGAGTTGGTGCCAACTCATAGCAACCCTAAATCTTTACAGGAGCAGAAAGCCTCATATTTCTCCCGCAGAGGGGCCAGTAGATTCAAACTGCTGACTTTGCAGTTAGCAGCCCAATGCGTAACCCAGTACACTACCTGAACTCCTTAATGGTTGCATAGATCTTCAGAATATTATTCCCCATATGTTTCTGTACACTTAAAATATTTTCTAATAGGAAAAAGAAACATAAAAGTCCTCACAGCCCTCAACAAAGCTCTCTGACAAGGATGTGTCCTGTCCCTGTATGTCTTTGCTTCTTTGGTCATCAGCTCTGGTGTTTCAACAAGACTGCCAGGCAGAGAACTAATTTTGTGTTTCTTCTAAAATACCTTCTCACAGGCTAAGGACAGGGACTTCAAGCATTTCCATTCGGTTATTTACATCAATGCCTCGGAAAACCTGCTGCCTCTAGGTAAGCTGCTGCTTTCTGCAAACTACCTTCTGCCTCTTGGTTGGCACAGCTCTTCACTAGTGCTAGGATCTGTCTGCTGGTTCATTCATGACTGACCACGAATATCCATTTTGGAGTACAATAGACTGGTATTGGAAAACACATAGACCTGGAGTCCAGCCCAGCCCTGGCACTGTCTGCTGAAAATGTTTCCTGTGAGCTGCTGCTTCTCTTATCTATAAATGAGGATAATTTCCTTCTTCTCTTCCTCCCCTTGCAAACTCAGAAGAGATAGATATATAGAAATGTGTTTAAATCGGTAAGATTTCCTGTAGGAACAGAAAACCTTATTTCTGGTTTGGTCAGCAAATCCACAGTGCCCCCTTCTGGGTGTCAGGACTCTGTAATGGTTGGCTTTTAGAAATGAATGAGTCCAGTTCCTGTTCTGTTCTGGTGATGAGCTCAGACACAGACAGTTACAGCAGAATGCGGTAAGTGCAACAACAGAGGGAATCAGAAAATGCTATGCAAGTACATTAATGGGACTTCAACCCAGGCCAGGGTATCAGGAGAGACTTTGGAGGAGCACTTAAGCCAAGACCTAAAACACAAATAGGAGTGACTCAGAAATTAGATTTCAGGACAGTGGAGTAGATGTGAAACAGCAGTGCCCGGTCAGGGAACCTGAAGAGGCTTTGCATATTTGTGAAGGATGCATGTCAGGGAGAGTTAAAACTAAAGAGGTTAGAAACCTGGGAGACTGTTTCAGTAATCCAGGAAGGGCAAGTGAAGCCTAAACCAAAGATATAGAAGTAGGACTGAAGAAGATGAAGAGAGGGGTTCCAGAGGACGTAGAAATAACAGGACTTGCTAACTGATGGGAATGTGGGGAATGGGAAGGAGCCAAGGGGATTTTCAGTCACATAGAGAGCACTAGAGAAGAGGTAGGTCTAGTGGGAAATAGGACGAGCTTAGTTTTGAATGTGTTGAGTTTGTTGTTGTTGTTAAGTACTGTGCAATTGGTTCTGACTCATAGTGACCCTGCACAGGGTTTCCGAGGCTGTAAATCTTTATGGGAGCAGAAAACTTCATCTTTCTCCCACACAGTGGCTGGTAGTTTCGAACTGCTGACCTGGAGGTTAGCAGCCTGATTCATAACCACTATGCTACCAGAGCTCCTGTGTTGAGTTTAAGGAGTGGTTTTTCAAAAAAGCACGTGATGAGGTCCTTGCCGTTTAGGAGACAGACAGTCTGTAAGGAGCATGATCTGAAAACATGAAGGCCATGTATTGTTGGGTGCCATCAAATCAATTCTACTCATAGTGACTCCATGTGACAGAATAGAAGGGCCCCATAGGGCTTTCTTGGTTAGAGTCTTTACAGAAACAGATCACAGATGTCTCTCCCACAGAGCCAACCGAAATGCCAGTCTTTTGGTTAGTAGCTTAGCACTTAACCATTGTACCACCAGGGTTCCTTATATAAAGGCCAGTAGACATATGAAAAGATACTTAACTTCACTAATAACTAAAATATCATCATGAATACTATTTTCTGACTTTCCAATGTGGCAAAAATTAAAAAAGGACTGATGATAAGCCAGCATCGAAAGAGAAATGGTATAAATTGGTAAAACATCTTTGGAAGGTAATTTGGCAATTCCTTTTGAATTTTTAATTAGTCATTGCCTTTAATATACCTCCAGAAATTTATTCTATAGAAACACAATTGCAGAGTTACTCATTAGAAACATCCTGAACACCACCAACATGGATTGGCCAAGTGGCAGCATCGATGGACTCAAGCGTGGCAACAGTAGTGAGGTTGGCCTAGGATCGGGCAGTGTTTCATTCTGCTGTGCATAAGGTCACTATGGGTTGGTACCGACTCGATGGCACCTAACAACAACAACAGATAACAAACTATGTGTAATATTGCGAAGAATGAGTATATTGAAATGCTGTATTGTGCTCATGACAAATCTGTATATAGACCAAGAAGCTGTCATTTGAACAGAACAAAGGAATACTGAATGGCTTAAAACCAGAAAAGTGTATGTCAGGTTTATATCTTTTCACCATAATTATTTAATTTGTATGTTGGGCAAATAATCTGAGATTCCGTATTATATGAAGAAGAATGTGGCATCAGGACTGGTAGAAGACTCATTGACAATCTGCCATATGCAGATGATACAAGCTGAAAGGGAAATACTTGCTGATGAAGGAAGATCAAAGACTATATATCTTTGTAAAGAAACAAAAATCGTCACAACTGAAACAATAAATAACATTATGATAAACAGAGAAAAGACTAAGCCAAACACTTCATTTTGTTTGCATCCTCAATCAACACTCAAAGAAGCAGCAGTCAAGACCTCAAACAACAAATAAATTACATTATGCAAATCTACTGCAAAAGACCTCTTTAAAGTGTTCAAGAGAAAAGATGTCACTTTGATTACTAAGATGCACCTGACCCAAGCCATGGTCTTTTCAACCGCCTCATATGCGTGTTAAAGTTAGACAGTGAATAAGTAAGTCCATAGAACTGATGTGTTTGAATTATGGTGTTGGCAAAGAATATTCAAAGTACCATGGACTTCCAGAAGAACAAACAAATCTGTGTTAGAAGTTCAACCAGAATGTTCCTTAGAAGTGAGATGGTAAGCCTTCATCTCTCTCATTCTTTGGACATGTATCAGGAGACATCAGTCCCTAGAGAAGGACATCCTGCTTGGTGAAGTGAAGAGTCAGGAAAAAAGACGAAAACCCTCAATGAGATCGATTGACGCAGTGACAGCAACAATGGGCTCAAACAAAACAGCAATTGTAAGAATGGCGCAGGACCAGGCAGTGTTTCGTGGTTTTTGTACAGAGGGTTTCTGTGAGTTGGAACCAACTTGACAGCACCTAACAACAAAAATAACTGAACATTCTTGGCACAAGATTCACTTAGAAGTCTCTCAGTAATCCCACACAGTATGCTAGCAAGACAGCATCATGATGTCTTCTTCAGTGGAGTTCTCATACCAGTCACCTGGCAGTCCACACAACTGTCCATGAACCATTCTCTGCACCCCTCCCTGTCAACTCAGGTGACAGGCAGTGAGGCCATCGCTGTTGGATGCAGGAGTCACCCTGGCTGAGGAGACTCATGCTCTACTCATCCCACTCACTGCCATATAGCCAGTTCTGACTAATAATGACCCTCCCTATAGGACAGAGTAGAACTGATCAGAGGATCCCGAAGGTTTCTGAGGTTGTGAATCTTTACGGACACAAACTGCTGATTTTTTGGTTAGCATCTAAATACTTAACCCACTGCACCACCAGAGCCCCTTCCTGCAAAGGAACATGTTCAGTTATTGGAGTCACTGCATACAGGGAAGCCCAAAGTTATGGTGCCCCTTCAAATATTTATTGTTCATTTATAGCTTCTGGTAGAGTAGTGGTTACAAGTTGGGCTACTAACCTCAGGGTCAGAAGTTTGAAACGATAAGCCATTCCACAGGAGAAAGACGAGGCTTTCTACTCCCGTAAATATTTACAGCCTCAGAAACCCTATGCAGGGTTGCTATGAGTCAGAACCAACTCCACGGCACATAACCAACCAACCAACCAAGTTCAGATACAGTTGTCAATTTAAGGTGGTTTGTATCATAAGCAATATTGCCTAGTAACAATGTTAACATAATATTTGTTTCAGACTCCCAGGGAAACAGATCTCAAAATCTATCTCAAGGTCCAATTCTCATGCAAAAGGGAGAAAGTTTGCTTCTCTCTCATCCACACAGTCTAAAGACCATCAGTAGGGAAATGGTTAAATGAAGTAGGGCATGTCTGTATTATTCTATATAGAATATAATTCAGTTGTTGTTGTTAAGTGTTGTCGAGTTGGTTCCAACTCATGGCGTCCCTGTATAGGGATCCCAAGGAGCAGCTGGTGCGTTTGAACTGCCAACCTTGTGGTTAGCAGTCCATTGCTTATCCAACATTTCCACACCAAAGATATCTATATGTTTTGATTTGGAAAATCTTTTAAGACATATTGTATGAGACCAAAGCAAGTCACAATACAATATAAAAAGACGTGTTCGTGCATTTCAGTATACACATAAGAGAAGTCTAGAGTTATATTTAGGAAACTTTGAATGGTTATCTGTCTGAAGGTCAGGTTTAAAGGGAACTTTTATTTTTCTATGACATTTGATTTTTTATAAAGAGAACCTGACTTACTTTTGTTATCAGAAATAATAGAAATTTTAGATGGGTTTTGGACTGTGGCTGACTTAAGAGTCAATCCTTAGCTCTTCTACTTACTAGCAGTGCTATTTCTATAATTCCTATTTTTCAGGATTGAAAAAAGAATTAGAGTCCATGTATATAATGTAAAGTGCTTTATGCAGTTTTAGCTTACTGTGAAAATAAAAGGTCTTTGTTAATATCTTTCTCTTTTTAAGTTATTTATAAGCTGTGATTGTTTCTCCTCCCTGTGTAGAGGCATTTCACACGTTTCCAGCCCTAAAGGAATTGGAGCTCGCATTTAATGGCATCAGAACAGTCTATGTGAAATATGGAGACTTCCGATGCTTGGAAGTAAGTTGGAAATAGAGAGCTGTGGGTGGCCACCTATTCTGCTGTAAGGAATGTATGTAGAGATCGCTAGTGATTGAAACTGTTTGGAAAGGGCTTTTGAGATGGTTTTTATCATAAGCAATATTGCCTTGTAACACCGTTAACTTACCATTTGATTCAGACCCTCAGGGAAACAGGTCTTGAAGTCTTTACATCCAGGCCTTCATCTCCATACTGGTCTCTAGGGAAAGTGGAGGGGATAGGGTTCATGGTGGTATAGGTAGAAGCAGGTTGGAGATGCTGTGGAAATACAGAGAAAAATTTCTCTGACCTGATTGCTTCTTCAGGATTTCCATTTTGTCATTTTTGTTTTCATTTCTTCAGAACCTAGTCACTGAGCTCATGCTCTGTGTCATACACTGCACGAGGCATCTTACCTCCTCTCCCCTCCCATTTCTAATGTCAGTGGGCCCTGGGGAAGGGACAGGACTGAAGACTCTGACCATACACTTGGTGAGTTTGGAGCTATTGGTTGACCATAATTGACTTTTTGGAGAGCCCTACTTAAGTGGTTCTGAATCAGGCTGCTAATCTCATGGTCAGCAGTTCGAAACTACCAACTGTTCTGCAGGAGAAACATGAGCCTTTCTGCTTCCATAAAGATTTACAGCCATGGAAACCCTGCACAGGGTCCTATGAGTTGGACTGACTACATGGCACATAACAACAACTTTATGGTTGTTGTCCTGATGTGGTGCTGTGGGTTAATGCGCTGGACTGCAATGTCTGTTTGAACTGCAAGGTTGGTGGTTCAAGCTTACCATTTGCCCTTCAGAAACCCTATACAGGGTCACTATGGATCGGAAGCAAAGCGACGGCACTTAACAATAACAACAACTTTATGGTTTGATAACATCTGATACAGATGATTTATACAGCCTTACCCAAGGGAATGTATTTAAGGAAATGAGATGAATGTTCAAGAAGCAGAATGTAAATGAGAAGAGGAGAACTGCTGCTGGTTATTAATTTTCATCTAAGAACAAGCATAAATCTGTAAAGTGTCCTGAATTTATAGCCTACAGTAATGAATACTTTGTTGTATAATAAAATTTGACACAGATATGCATTATCACCAAGACACTATTCATTCTTAAGTTCTCTAATCGCTAAAACAATGTGTTATTATCTGTAAATAACTGAAATAAAATGTTTTGTGAATCTAGAAAGCAAAAAAAAAAAGTGTTTTTGTTTTTTTTTTTAACATGATTCAGCAGATAAAGTAATCAGGTTGGGAATCTTCTGTCCCCACCTTTTTTTTTTTTTTTTGCCAGAAAAGCTGAGAGTAGAATTCTTCATAAGTCAGTTTAGAAAAACTTAACTTCTATGATTCTCTGAGTGCAGGTCTAAAAAAGGTTCAGCTGAGGCCCTGCCCTGGGAGTCAAGAGACCTTGTCTTTTGTCGTAGTCCTGCCAGTACTATGTCTCCTTGGCCAAATAACTCACCCTCTCTATGACTTAAAGCTTGCCATCTGTACATTCAAGGGCACGCTCTGAAATTCTATGATTGGGATTCTTAGATTATTCATTTCTTTGAGCTGCTCTTTATTCTATGGAAAGTAAATTTGAATCCAACATTCAACAGCCAAAGCAGCTAGAACAGGGGTTGGAAAACATTATGTAAGAGATAATAAAGATTTTAGACATGTGGGTCATAACTCGCCAGCTCTGCTGTTGTAGAAGGAAAGACAATATGTAAACAAACGAGTATAGATGTGGTCCAGTAAAACCTTACAAAACAGAAACTTGAAGTTCATGTGATTTTCACCTGTCATTTTTTCATTTCTGGTTGAAAAAAAAAAAAAAGGGAGAAGGGCATTCCCTACTTAGTGAAATACATGAACAACGGACTATAGTAGAGAATGAAGAGAGGTGATTTTAGCCCCAGTAGCACAGAGTAAGCTAAGGTTTGCAGTGGGACACAGCAGGAAAATAGATGAGGAACTGACGAGAGTAGGCCTTGAATGTTAATGCCGAGAGTCAGGAGGGTTTTGTGCTGGTGGTGAAGTGGTGCCCTAAGCCAACTGAAACCAAACGCACTATCACTGAGTCATTTCTGACTCAGAATGAGTCCTGGTGTGGCACGTGGGCTAAGGCATCAGACTGCAAAGTCATTTGAACTGCAAGGTTGGTGGTTCAAGCTCACCAGCTGCTTCTTAGAAACACTATAAAGGGTCGCTATGGGTCGGAGTCGACTTGATGGCACTTAACAACAACAAATGACCATATAGGATAGAGCAGAACAGCGCCTTAGGGTTTCCAAGACTAGAAATCTTTACTGGTGGCACCCTAGGAGGTTAAAAAAAAAGTCAGTAGTATGTAGTTCTCACTTTATGTATTTATAATCATCACTGTTACATGTTGTGATTCAGTGTCCCTCACTACCTTCGTCTTTTTTGTACCACAGTTCCTGGACCTTTCCTTCAACAGCCTGACTGGGGAGGCCATCTGTGACCTGGGGATTCTGCCCCATCTCCGGGTCCTTCTCCTCACAGGAAATGGACTCACCTCCCTTCCTCCCAATCTGGCTGTCTCAGAGCAGTAAGTACAACATCCTTGAGAGCATGCTGTGTGTTTTCTCGAAAGCCATTGTCTGAATGTACAAATATGCAAGGAAATAGTCTAAAGTAGCTTGGAAATGCTGTCAAGACAGGCTGTGTGTACTCAGGGAGAAAGTCACTTCCAGAAGAGCCCAGGAAAGGCAGCCATGGGAGCAGCCGCCCAAAGGTTGTGGAGGCCTCAAATGGACATCCTCTGTGCTATTAGGAGACATCAAGAAAAGATGGAAGGAATACAGAGTCATTGTACCAAAAGGAAATGGTCAATGTTCAACCATTTCAAGAGGTAGCATATGAACAAGAGCCAATGATACTCAGGGAAGAAGTCCAAAGTGCATTGAAGGAATTGGCAAAGAACAAGGCACC